CTGGCTGTACTCTCGCATCAGCATGCATCTGCGTGTCCATGTGTGTACACGCGCTTGCCCAGTCTCCCACCGCTGTCTGCTACTTACCATCGACCCAGCCCCGATATACTCACCATCTCTCTGCACCTTCTGCCCTCTGCTGTCCTCTGCCACATGCCACAGCTGCCCCATGACCATCCCACCTGCAGGAGCAGACCAGGCCCTGTCTGCTGACCTTCTCCTGTTCCTGGGGTAGCTTCTTAGGAAAACTTGGCCTAGCCAGTAGCGGCAGTTTCAAGGACAGAGCCCTGCTCACAGGCTGTCCTAGGACTTTCTGACCAGCCAAAAAGGACACCAAGTCACACAGAAGAAAGATCTGGGTTTTGGTCTTTCTACTGGAAGTGAGAAACAGGAAAGACTTCCTACATTCCTCCCTCAGGCTGCCGTGGCCAGGCCTTGTGTCGCTCTCGGAACACACGATGGTAGACACTACTCTAAGGGCAGCACATGCTGAGGTGGGGGCAGATGGCCCTACAACTGTGCATTGACAATGACAGGGCACTGAGGCCAGGCGAGCTACGCCTCTCACCTCATAAACTGAGAGCAAGGAGACCACATCTCCTCCACAGAGTGTTCACATAGCCAGGAAGAATTTCATTTTTCTACTATTGCACTTTCAGTGAAATAAAATAAACAGAAGGAGCGGAGAAAACACAGAGGAAATAAAGAGGGACATCTGTGAACCACTAGAAATGGAGCCCCAGAAATAATAACTGAAAGGTAGAAGGGCAAAGTCCTGGCACACCTGCTTCCCACAGCCTACACGTGCCTGGGGTGGGGAACAGCCCTGGGTCACAGCCTCTCTGCCAGCATCTCTGTGCCCCACCTACATTTGATACGGTTCCTGACCCACAAGAGGCCCCAGTCAGCACTCACTAGGTGGGTAGTGATGGGATAAATGGATGGATGGATGGATGGATGAATGCTGGATGGATGGACAGATGGAGGAATGGATGAACACATGGATAGATGGATGATAATGAATGGATGGATGAACAGATAGATGCACAGATAAACAGATGAATGGATGGATAGATGGATGGATGGATGGTGAATGAATGGATGGATGGGTTGGTGGACACAAGAAAGGACAGACAGATGATGGGATGGAAGGATGGACAGATTGATATTGGACAGATAAGAGGTGGATGAATGGAATCCGCACTAAGAAGCTGAGGTGAAGCCCAAAACCAAAATCAACAGTGAACTGGAAGTGTCTCCTTCAACCCTGACCCAGAGATAAACAAGAACATACACCATAGGCTATGAATATCTAAGGGCTTAAAAAGGGCCCTAGAGGCAAACCAGTCCTGGTGCATGATTCCCCGCCCCAGGCTAAGGAGTGCCTCCTGCTTTCATCTCAGTGTTAGACCCTGCCACTCCTGGGCCTACACACCCACTGCTACAAAGACACCCCCTGAGGTCAGTGCAAGGTCACACCTCTAGACCCAGCAGTGATGTCACCAACTTCAGGAGCCCTCTCCCTGATTCTCCATTATCCATCCTTGACACCCTCAGACGTCCTAGTCCACATCTCTGCCACTCCAGGTGCAGGGATCTGTCCACACCTCTGTCTTCCCCACCAAGCTGGACACTCCAGGAGAGCAGGACAAAAGTGCAGTGCCTCCTACAGAGCTTGGCATAGCACTGGGGCTTGTGAAATCTGCAGAAGCGATAGAAAGAACCAAGAGCAGAAGGAGTGCCCCACTCAGCAATCAGGAGCCCAGAGAAGGCTAAGATCAGACTGAGGAGACAAAGCCCAAGCTACCCCTAACTAGGGATGTCTGCAGATGGCCACCCTCCCTGCAAGGCCCAGTGCAGAGCCCAGCAAGCCTGCTGAAGGAAGGGTCCACTCCATAGTGGACACCCTCAGCAGCCCCAAAGGCCTGGGACCAGAAGCCCAGGGTGCTGTCACCTGAAGGCTCCTCTCCAAGCAGGGACTTCTCATACCTTTCAAAGTGCATTGGTGTAGTGGGTGTGTAGGATGACGGAGAGACCTCAGAGGGCAGAATGTAGAGTCAGCACTAAGCGATGGACAGCCAGGAGTCCTGAGGTGGGATCTGTAACCTAAGACTACAGGGGCCCCCAGCCAGGCCCCAATGCGTTTGCTGTGGCCCACCTTCCCACTTCCACCAAAGCCAGGGAACCGAACCTGCCACCCCCAGCCAGCATGGTCCTTTGTGAACCGGAACCAGAGAAAGGACACACTGGGGACATTGCTCAGAGAAGCAACTCCCAGTGCTCCACACTGACAGTCCAGTAGGTCACAAGACCACCATGGCTGTGTCACACAGGACTTATTGCTAACGACCATAAAAGTCCAGCCTTAGCAGCAGACTCATGTTTAGCAAAGTGTGAATGAGCAGATCATCCTCCTTACCCATTCCAGGCATTTTGAGAAGGGAAGGGGAGCCCTACAGCTGGGAAAGCCATGTGACCCAGCTGGCTGTGGCTCCTCACACCATCCCCTGGGATATGATACCGATGAGCTATGTGTGGAGGTGGGGTCCACAGCAGTGGTTGGGTTTCATAAAGTTCAGGCCATGTTCTGGCAATGGGTCACCCTTATGAATAGTCTTCCCCTGTCACAATGAAGAGGATGTGGCATCAGTCTGTGCAAAGAGCAGAAGCCCCCAGGCAGTGACAGAGGCTCTGGGCAGGGACAGCACTGAGAGCCTTGGCTCCTGAGTCAGACAGACTGTGTTCACCAGATCTGCCCCCTAACCACGCTTCAGACACACATGAACACTTGGGCATAAGCCCTCCAAAACCTCAGCCAGACCCTGACCACAGGCAGCTGATGGTATCTTCCTCCACGAAGCCAGCATGGCCACCTACTATAGGAAGTGCAGTGCACTGTGTTCTCTATCACTCCCCACTGGAGAAGAGCAGGGTTCTGGAACAGGTCAGATCCAGACTTGAATTCTGTTTGGTTGCTTAGTGGCTTCAGGCAAGTGTGACTTTAAGCGACTCATTAGCTTGGCCCTTTTTCCATTTCCTTCTCTACAAAGGGTGCTGTTGATGAGAGTATACACTAAGGGTTCCAGGAGGTGACAGCCTCTTCCACCCCAATGTCGGGACAGAGATGGAGCCTCACCCACTGGCCCTGAAGGTAAGAACAGGGGCACTCTGCCCTGTATCCAAAGTCCAGGTGTCATCCTTGCCACTGGGATCCTGCCACCACTTCCTGGGCCTTGTTACTCTTACCTGTTACTCTTGACAGTAGCCCTGCCAGTGGCATCCAGCAACACAAAGGTTTTGCAAGCAGCCTGAGGAACCAGAGAAGGCAACAGGCTGGAGCCGAGCTGCACCCGGCGCTATAGGAGTTCACATCACGAACCAGTTAGAAACAGTGTCTTAAGGCAAGTCTTGGTTGTGTGGGAAACCTTGTAGGGCCTGGGGACAGGAAGGAGCTGTTAGGGAGATGTGGGTATAGGGGCGAAGAGCCAGGTGCTGCTCAAGGAGCTATGCCAAATGCTTTGTCATCGGGGTCACCTCCTTCATCCCTAATTTACAGGCGCAATGCTAGGCGTGACCCAGCCTACAGAGGTCAGGCAAGCTGACTGAGGTCACACGAATAGTAAGCAGAGGAGATAAGACTTGACCCCAAATCTGTCCAACTCTAAAGCCAACACTTTCCGCTCCCAGGCTTCCCAGCAGAGCAGCAGAAAGGAGGAAAGGCAGCCGGAAGAGAGAGCCAAGAATGAGCAAGAAGAGAAAAAGCTCTGGAATTAGTGCCCATATATGCAGAGTAGACGCCAGCTGGGGCTGCCCAACAAGGAGGAAGCACCCATGAGCAGACTTTTGCAAGCACCCTGCAGCACATGTTCTGACAAAGCCTGGACACATGAGCACGCTGAGCCCACGACTGAATCACTCCCCACAAGGAAACATTCGGGTGGAAATGCCATGCACCAGGTGGACATCACAACCCAGCTGACCACCAGTGCACGAGGGGCCTGATTAGCAGAAAGCGCCAGAGCGACCGCCAGTTGCACCAAATTAAGTGTTCCCAATTTTACGCTCTCCAGCAGTGGGCTCTGCGCTGCTTCTGGAGGCATGAGGTAGCATTCTGAGTGATAATTAATTAGAAGGGAGAGCAGAACAAACAAGCAAAGTGCATCAAATGGCATTAGTATTATTCCGCCATTTCTTCATTTGGCTTTTGATCAGAGAGGGCCAAAGTGCAGAGACACCACAGGAGCACCCAGCTGCCTGCCACAACCTGTTCAGGCTGCTCTGCTCCCCAGCACCCCACAATCCTGCACACCTCCCTCTCTTTACACCAACTCAGGCCAGAGAGAGACGTGCCCCCGCCTCCTCCTCACCTCTCTGCCGCCAGACCACTGGGGCCAGCACCAATCAGCCAGCTCCTTCTAGCTCAGAGCCTTCTAGTTTGTTCTCAAATGAATGGATCCTTTGTTAAACCAGAGGTCCTGTCTTCATTAGTAAGTCCTAACCCCTAATAGAGGTGTTTTTCAAAGAAACACACAGTGATTATCTCAAGCACCAAAGAAACAGGCATGCACAAGGTATCATTTGACGACAGGCAACAGATACCTCCTCCAGCTGCTAACAAATCCCATGGCAGACCTGCCCACCTCTGCAGAGAGCTAGAAATGTATTTCATCCCTAGACGCTTACACCTTTCAACAAAGAGGAAAATTAAAAGGAAAAAAAAAGAAAAAAAGAAAATCTCAGAGATTGCTGGCAGTGACTTGTAATCAGGCTTCCCACTGGCTGCCCTACAGCCTCTCAGAGTCCAGGCAGGCCTCAGTCATCTGTTGCAGACCAATCTGCCACGAAGTGATGCGCAGGCCTCCCTGCATGGCCATATACTGCGGCAGAATGTCCACAGCCCAAGCACCCCTTTCGGCTATGCACAGGAGAACTGCACCCTGCAAGTTGAACCTCGCTGAGCCATCCCCATGGCCCCTGTGGCCTCAGTCCCTTCCTCTTACCTCATTGATGAAGGAGTGCGCCCCCTGTGGGCTGAGCAGCAGGATGGCACGGCGCAGTGTGTCCCGGTAGCGGTTCAGCTCCTCTGTCTTCATGGTGGTGAAGAGGCTAGTGAACACGTGGCTGATGTTCTTGTCCACCTTTTGTAAAGAGACATCAAGGCCCAGCCGCGAAGCCTGGTCCAGAAAGCTTTGGAGTCCACGGATGTCTGAGCAGAGGGAAGAGAGGAGAAAGAGAAAATGGTCTGTAAGCATCAAGGGATCTGCAGGGCACCCAGCTCTAACGCACCCCACCGACCCCCAGAAACAAGGGCTGGAGTCTGCTTTGGTGGTCCCAAGAGACTGGAAAACACCAATGTAATCCAAATGTCCCTCCCCGGCGCCCAGGCCTGGGGTGACTATGTCCCACTATGGGGAGCCCTTTCTGCCATCCAGTAGGTCCCACGGCCAGAACACACCCTGAACAATCAGCACCTCTTCCTCCCTAAATGGGCCTGGGCCTGGCAGGCCTTTTGTCTTGGCTACATGGGCTGGGGGTTTCTGGCCTCAGTTACCTCTGTATCTTGCAGCTGAGTCTTCTGCACCTTCAATGGCAAGCAGAGGGCACTGCCCGCCCTGACCAGAGCTGGCCCAGCATGAGGACATGCCCAGTTCTATTCCTGGGCCCCTGCTCCAGTCTTCTGATGGTCACAGCCTGGATGATGGCACTCAGCCCTGCGGCAAGGGGTCATGTCCTGCTCTGGGGATCTGATCTTCCTCAATGAAACCTCCCTCCCCATGCTCTTCCAACTGGGGTAACAGACCCCAAGTCCTGATTGGGTCGGGGATAAGTAAGTGACCCTCAGGCAGAGCCCCTGCAAGACAGGCTGCTGGAACAGTCACCAGGCTTGGAGTGCAGAAGGGCTTCCTTGGGAGGTGGTGACCATCCTAATCATCTGACACAGCCCCACTGGCCAAGCCACCTGGCTTCCCCAAGGAGACCTGCCTAAGACTGGACCTGGTACAGAGGCAAGAGGGCCTGAGAGGGAGACACCATCCTGACAGTTATCACCCAAGCCTCGGGGTCCTGTGCCTGAGTTTTTCCATTCCAGGGTCCAATACATTTCCTTCCACTTAGGCCAACTTGAGTTGCTTTTCTGGCACCAGCAACCCCAAGTGCCAACCCATAGCTGGGTCCTTTCTTTGCAGCCTGGGACATTTTTCTGGCCCTTTTCTGGCCCATCCCTACAGCTAACTCTGCTCTACTTTCCCCACACCCCCACTCTCCTCAAGCCCTGAGGTACCTCTGGGCAGGCCTGGGCCCACCAAGTCACTGAGAATCAAAATCCCAGCGAACAGTGTGAACTCAACACATTTTGTTCCTAACCAGCTCCTCCACCAAGCTGCCTGTGCATGTCCATTCCATAAACGCTGAGCTTCACATGTGCAGACCATGTGTGAGCTGCTGCCACAGAGGGCGCCACGCTCTCCAGCACAGGCTGTGAGTCCCCACTAGACTGCAAGGTAGAGAACCAAACACAGAGCCATGGCTGTCATGACCAGGGTTCTGGGGGCTAAGCACAGGTACTCGCTCCCCAAACAAAGGGACCCCAACACTTAGGACTGAGCACAGACTCACCATCTCACCAGCAAAAGACCCATGGTCTTTAAGCTTCTGTTTGTTCATCCATAAACCGGGGATAAAATCTTTCAACCATCATTTCTGTGGGGTTCTGAGGGACAGGGTTTCTCCCGCTTGGCTCCCAAGGGTCTGATGGTCCACAGGCAAAAGAAGGGTGCTGTGGTGTGCAGCTGAGCATTTTGGGAGGCCACTCTTGTGCCTGGCATTCAAGCCCACAGCCCATATTTTCCATTCCAGCCATGACCTCAGGCGGTCCCCTAGCAGCCTGGCCTGGGAGCATAGCCACCGAGAGAGAAGGAAGGAGGTGCCAGATAGCAGGGACATCAGGCCAGGCCCAGGTGGCCTTCACAGAGCTCCCCCTAAGTGAAGAGCACTAACCAGCCAAGCCAACACAGTGGCCCCTACAGCCCGCGACCCAGACCCTGCCCACTGACCCAGCCGTCCACACCCCTTGGATCCCCAGAGCAGCCACATAGCTTAGCACCCAGGACAGCGGCAGCCCCAGGGCCTGCTGAAAGCAAAGTTAAAGAGAATAAAGAACCTATTCTTTTTTATTTTGTTTTTAACTGACACGTAGTAATTGTACATATGGAGCACAATCCATGCATATATATGTAAGAAAATTGGGGCAATTAGCCTGTCCATTACTCATACATTCACTAGCTCTTTGTAGTGAGAACATCCACGATCCACCCACCCATCTAGCAATCCTACAATATTCAGGACAATACTGTTAACCATAGTCACTATTCTGAGCAACAGAATACAACTTTCTTCCTCTCTCCAACTGCAATATTGTACCCTGACCAATCCTTCTCTACCTATCTCTGGCCTCCAGGAACCACTTTTCTATTCTACTTCTCTGAAAGCAACTTTTTTAGGTTCCACATTTGAGTGAGATCATGCATATCTGCTTAATGCAGCACTATTCATAATAGCAAAGATATAGAATCAACCTACAGGTCCACCAAGTGATGCATGCTTAAAGAAAATGTGGCACATTCTCCCAATGGAATACTATTCAGTCACAAAGAAGGATCGAGTCTTGTCATTCATGGCAATGTGGATAATCCTGAAGGATGTCATGCTAAGTGAAATAAGCCTGGCACAGACATTTAAGAATCACTTTGGAACCTGTCAGAAAGAGCGGCAGAGCACATGTGCACAGACGCTTCAAGGCACAGAGGACCAGGGAGGCCCAGCCAGACCTTCTCAGCCTGGTGTCAGCCCAAGGCCTGAGCATGGCACAGCTCACACATGGCACTGGAAGCTGGACAGTGTTTCAGGACCAAGCAACACCCGTGCCCATGCCAGCAGCAGACTTGTGCCTGGCACCTGACTGCTTCCTGCCAACACTAATGAGAGTTTCTTCCTCTGTCTGCAGTGCCCAAAACACAGCTATCAGCCACCAGTGGCTATTTACATGTATGTCAATAAGTCAGTTTATTAAATTAATTAAAATGAAACAAAAATTTATAGCCAGCTTCTCAGCTGGCGGGGCCACATTCAAGCACTCAACAGCTACCTCTGGCCGTGGGTCACTGTGCTGGGGCATGCAGATTCAGATCCCAGGAAAGAGACAGTTGAAGGAAGTCCTACTGGAGGACACTTCCTGGAGACACCATCTTCTACCCAGCAGGGGTGAAGGATGTCCCCAAGAGGCCAGCTGCCTTCAGGACCCTGGTAAGAGCATCCCTATTCCTATGCCTTTTCCCAGTCACTTTGAAGTCCCCTCCATCTCGGGCTCTGACATTGGCCCATGGGACAATGATGAACTCACTGCAGACAGAGCCTTGAGTAAGTGTTGGTGCATTTCCACTGCCACTCTTGGACATCCTGGGCAAGGCTGCTGGAGGGGTGCAGAGGCAGGTGGGGAGGAGTCAGGCTGCCCCAGCATCCACCCCAGCCACACACCACTGAAGTCAGACACAGGAACAAGGCCAGAGTAGAACTGCCTGGGTGAACTATAGACTCATCATGAATAACAAATGGCTCCTGTTCTGAGCTGCTAACTTTGGGGTGGTCTGTTTCCCAGCAATAGCTAGCTGATAGGCCAAGGTCAGCAGATGAACTAGGCCTGCTATTTCCTGTGGAAATGGAGATGAAAGACAGTCTTTACCTCATCGAGCCATGCCACCACTTTGCCCCACATGCCTGTCACCATGGAGTTGAGTGAGAGCAATGCCATGTGTCCACGGGCAGCTTCTGTGGCCCTGTCCTTTCCCTGGGACACCAATGGTCCTCAATGTCCCTATGGACTTGGCTGTGTCCCAGATCTGAGCACAACTGACAGGATAGGCATAAAAGTGGGACCCTGAGACCCCCATCACCAGTGACTCCTTCTCTTAGCACCTTCCAAGGCCACTATGAGTCTTCACAGGGGCAGGGACTGTCCCCATCTGAGAGCCTCCTTCTAACGTTCACATGCCATGTGCACCGTGACAGCCCACATGGGCTCGTGAGTCTGGGAGGGTCACCCAGGTGGCCCTGGAGACCTCATGCATCATGCAGCATGGCCAGGCCTCTTCAGCTGAGAGAAAAGTTCCCTTCAGACCCTTCTGAGGTCCCGTCTACCTAAAGTCATGTCAGCCCACAGGGTTGCTTCCTCTCCTTACAGACCTGGAGGTGACAGGGGCAGATGGCAACTGTCTAGGGACCCACATGTACACACAGGACATGGAAAATAAAAGCCCTCAGAGCTGCTGTCCACCCTCAGCTACTGCACTGCCTGCTGTGTTCAGGCAGCCTCAGTGGGCTGAGCCATCGGAGAGGTTCAGTCCCGTCTGCAGGACTGCATCACTAATTCACTCCTGGAATTAGTGATGTCGGCTGAGGGCTGCATTTTCATGGCTCCTGCTGCAACTGACTCTCCCACTGGGCTGAAAAGGTCAACTCTCAGCCTGCTCTCCCAGGAGCCCTTATGCAACCGCAGGGGGAGGGCGGAGCCAGAGCGGCCAGCAGAAGCACAGGCCAACTTCGCAGCCGCCTGCCCATTCCCCAGGAACGGAGCCAAGAAAGCCTGCTTCTCCGCAGCAGAACTCATCCTCCCTATGCCAGAAACAGACTTCCGTAATGCTCAGGGAACTGAACCAGATGCGCGGCTTAAATATCTCATGGTTTCTCTTACTGGAGAAACCCGAAGTATAAAGAAACTATCAAGCAAAGGGAAAAGACAGATCACAGGAAACAGGGAGACAGATCTTTTGCAAATGGGAAGGGTATCAAGAGACAGAGGGAGAGGGAGAGTGGGGAGGGGAAAAGAGGGGGACATAAGAGTTAATACACATTATGTACACGTGCCAACTCCCCACAATCATTATATACTGCAAATATGCACTAATAAAAATAAAATATTTTTCACTCCCCACCAAAAGAAAAAGAAACAGTTTGCAGCACTGTCCTACTCCACCTCCTCCACAAAGCCAGCTGTCCACAGCTGCTCCCAGGACCAGGAGAAGCCCCCAACAGGGAAGACCAGAGACAGAGCTGGAGCTGCTCCCCAGGCAGTGGGGCAGCAGACACAGAGCTCCAGCCCTTGGCCCGGCCCTCCCCAGCAAACTTGTGGGCAGACGGTCCAGCCCCACTTCC